TTGAATGGACTTTAACCGATGGATAAGAATTGAATTATCGTGTAGAAACAATTAAAATGATTTTTCTATTTGTTATTTCTTATGGATCGATATATTCGAGAACTTTTGAAATAAGAAAGGGAAGAATTGAGATTTTTCGAAGCGAGAAAAGGATAAAGTCTCGCATCGAAGAATTTGATTCGGAGGTTTCGATTCGACCTCGTTTCGAAGGGGTTGTATATGTGAAAATACGCGTGATTGGAAATTCGAGACACGCGAAAAGAAATCGCGTGAGAACGGATGAAATGTCCGACTCGAATCGGACGGAATTTATCAACGCTGAAAATATTGAATTCATTAAAAAAAAAAAAAAAAAAAAAGAAAAGAAAAATTCCATCTTCTTATAAAATCAAAAAATGTGCAATGTTTCGATAGAAAATTTTCTTAAATCACCATTTAATTCGCTGTATTCTCTTTTTATTCTTATCTTAAACTTCGAAAAGCGAGAATAGAAATTTTTCTTTTAAATTACCACCATCTATCCAACTCCATCTCTCTCTATAATTTCATATCTTCGTGTATAAGAGTTCTAAGAGAAAATAGAAAATTTTCTAAAATTACTTAACTTTCTATAATTTCATGTTCCTATCTAAAGAGTTCCAAGAATATTTTTAAAAAAGGGAAAAGCTAAAAAGGAAAAGCTAAATTCAGAAGAATCGTCTAAAATTATCTCGTATATTTGTTGTACCTGTATTGTTGAGCAATATCTTTAGAAATTCGCGTTTCTCGCGTTTGTCTCTTTACATATCGTCGGGAAAGAAGTTTCTTCGACAAATATTGAAACACGCGATGCATGAATCGATTCGAGTAATAGGTTTAAGCCAATAACTTGCACAATTATGATATAACCTATATACACTATCACCGTAATGTAATTTAAACCCATTACTAGGCATAAAGCGACCTACGGACTTTGAAACATGCGATGCTTGCATCGATTTAAGCGATAAGTTTTATAAATCAATAACGATAATTCCAGAGCTCGAACAAAAGGTTTATAAAATCGATAGCTAATTCCAGAGTTTTTTAAAATTGTAAGCTTAAGCGATGGATTTAAGTCAATAATTAGTCACGATTCCAAAAATTGCGCGACGACTAGACAGTTCCACTTATTAGTAAGTTATTAACTTAAACCCATCGCTACAGACGATGCATCGTAAGATGATCGACTCGAGCGATGGGTTTGAGTCATAGTTCCAGAATCGTGTGAGCGATGGATTTAAGTAAATAATCGATAGTCCTGGAAATCGTGCAATAGTTAGTGAATAATTCCAAGGTTATACGAGCTATTATCTTAAACCCATCGCTAGACTCCAATCTACAATTTCAATTCTGAAACACGCGACAATATCGACTCGAGAAATGGGTTCAAGTCAATAGTTCCAGAGTCGTGTGAGCGATGGATTTAAGTAAATATATAAATAATCGATAGTTCTAAAACTTGTGCGATAATTTCAAAAGTGAGTCGTTAACTTAAACCCATCGCTAGATTAGATTTAAAACAGACTCTGAAACGTACGATGTACATCGTGCGATGATCGACTCGAGCGATGGGTTTAAGCGAATAGTTCCAAAGTTGTGCGTTGGTTTAAACCCATCGCTCGATGCATCGAAACAGCGTTTCAGTGGCTCGACTTTTAGATACGAATACGATACGATTTCGTCTTCCATTCGCTCGTGTTAATCGGCCCATTCGTCGAACAAAAAATTCGAATCCTTTTATCGGTTTCACGTTGAATTTCACGTTCCAAGTTCGCAGATCGATATCCCGTCGTTTTCCAACAAGTTCAACCTCTTCTTTCCGAGCTTCGTATCCGGTGGTCTGTGGTCTACTCTTCTTCTTTTTCTTTTTATCGCGATAATTGGACGATTTTGACAAAGACGTATAACAACGTGCAAATAATTGTGGTCGTTGCTCGCGCAGGTGAAATTTTCTTCGATTTTACGCTTTCTTTTTACTCGCCTCTGAGCGATATTAGTAGATTCGCTTGATGTACTCCACTTTCCATTATTTCTTTTTATAGATCCAGAGATAAATTCCATACTTTAATTTTCACTCGTAAATTTCTCTTTCTAAGAGATTTGCTTTTGTTTCTCTCAGTTCAATTTTGCACAGTTTAGCCGGAATTTTTAATGCCATGTAATATTCCTTTTTGTCGAATTATACAAATTTTCGCGACGATTTTTCTCTTTTTTCAGGAAAAAAAATTTATCCTGAATTTTCGGCAGAGAATTTTTTTAATTAATCGCTACATTTTTCTTTTTTTATCCTGCCAAATAGAAAATTTATCGCAATCTCTGTCGCAAGATTGATCAACGATTTTATTTATTTAATTTTTTCTCATGAAAATTTTGATAGAATTTTCCTT